AACTATTTAAATAGGACTACAGCCTTCCAATGTTAAGGACTACATCCCAACATCAAGAAAACAAAAGTCCTCAAAAAAGGCAACATCACCATAGATGGAGAGAATATTAAAGTTACTAACAATTTCATCTTGCTTGGATCCACAATCAACACCCTTGGTACTAGCAGTCAGGAAGTCAAAAGAAAGGTTATACTGGGAAAATCTGTTGTCAAGGACCCCTCCAGTGTACCGAGAACAATTATGTCAGTTTAAAGACTAAGGTTCACCTGATTCAAGCCATGGTCTTTTTAATTACTTCCTATGCATCTGAAAGTTGGACAATGACTACGAATCACAGAAAAAGACTTGATGTCTTTGAGTTGTGTCCGTGAACTACCAAAAGAAACAAATATGTGTTAGAAAAGTACAGCCAGGGTGCTCCTTAGAGGCAAGGATGATGAAACTTTGTCTTATACACTTTGGGCATGTTGTTAGGAGGGGTCAGTCCTTGGAAAAAGACATCAAACTTAGAAAGGTGGAAGGTCAGAGTAAAGAGGGAGACCCTCAACAAGATGGACTGACACAGTGACTATAGCAATGGACTCCAGTATATCAAGGATGGTAAGGATAGGGCAGGCTTCAGATCCATTTTTCGTAAGGTCACTGTAAGTCTAGTCCACTCAACTGCTCCTACCAACAACAAAAGGGGATCCAACTGACAATAAGAGTTCAAAGGTTAGATAGAAACCCTAGGGGCGATGAGTTAATGGGAGAGCGAACAACTCAAGACTGAAATGTGTTTATGGTTGCACAATGCAAGGAATTCAATCAACGTTACTACGTGATACATGTGCTCGACTCGATGGCACTTACCATTTTTTTAACAACATTATTTTTTATTCATTGTTTCACATTTTCTTCCCCACTCTCCTTCCCTAGCCAACCCCACAAAGCACCCTTTGTTCCTGATTGTTCTCATACATATAATGTAAAACATACATATAATGTAAAATCATATATTCCTTTCGGACCGTTCTTCCCCTCATCTATCCACTCTTTCCACATTCTTTCTCCAACCCCACCCCATTTTACAACAGCAGTGTTAGGCACTATTTGTCCTTTTGTAACTAAGATATTTCACTCAGCAGAATACCCCTAGGCTCCCCCATTTGTGTAATAAAACAAAATAAATTTTAAAATAGAAAAAAAAAATCACATCTGAGCCCTTCCTTGACAAAAATTGTCACTGAATCCCCATTAGATTGAGGAGAAATTCTCAGTTCCTTAGTATAATACAGTATTAACGCTTCCACACATTCCAGCTCCATTCCCCTCTTACCCTCATGTTATTTTCTTCTTGTCCCTATTGAAGACCTCAGCTCTGGCTTTAACCAACTAGGTTTTACCAGGTCCCAAGTACAATCACACTTCTGAGCCTCTGGCCTCCACAGATGGTGGTGCAGTCTCCGTACTGCACTGAGGGCAGCCTGTGAAAGGAAGAATGAACTCTAGACCTTGTTCTGCTAGACAAGCCAGCATGACTAAGATGAAGGGATGTCTGTTTGTATATGTGCACAAAGGCAATCCTTGCTTTCCCCTCCTGCCTTGAGTGGTCGTCACTCCAAACTCTTATCCAGATTGAGCTTCTTTATAAAATCTTCCCTCTACTCCCTTAGTTATCCTTTCCCTCTTATATTAATTCTTTTTAAAAATTTTATTATGTGTGTGTGTGTGTGTGTGTGTGTGTGCTGTCAAATCAGATCTGATTGGTACAGGAGGAGATTGCCTCTCTTTCTCCAGCAGAGCATCAGTATATTCTTAATTCTTAACACTCTTCAGCTGCCAAAAGCAAAAACAAATCTCTCTTAGAAGACGTATAACCAGGGTGCTCCTTAGAGAAAAGGTTGACAAAACTTCATCTCACATACTATTGGCATATTGTTAAGAGGAACAAGTCCTTGGAAAAAGACATCATGCTGGGAAAGGTCAGAGAAAGAGATGAAGACCCTCAACAAGATGGATTGACACAGTGACCCTGACAACGGGCTTGATGATGTCAGAGATTGTGAGGATGGCTCAGGACAGGGCAAGGTTCAAATCTGTTCACAGAGTTGCTATCAGTCTTAGTCAGCTCCACGGCATCTAACCAGTTACCACCCATTCAGAAAGCACTAGGGTTTTGGGTTGTTTTGGGCTCTATTTAATTTGTATAATTTAACTTAATGTGAGTGTGCTCTAAACCTCAGGTAGCTTGTAAGCTCATATTATGTTTTTACATCCCTCCAAAGTGTCCATGAGAGTGTTTTGTGACTAGCATGTGACCAGCGGACATCCATGACACACACAGCTATGCAAACATCTCAAGCAGGAATCCATCTCAGAGAAGCTGACTGGTGGGAGAAGTGTTTTTGTGAGGTGTCATTGATGCAATCCAACTTATAACAACACTATGTATAACAGAAGAAAACATTGCAGGCCTGGACTGTCCATCCGGATTATCCATGCACACAATCCCATGACTGCAGCCACTGTGTCGATCCATGCCACTGTCTTCCTCTTTTTTGCTGTCTACTTTCTCAAGCATGACGACTGGTCCCTCCTGATAACAATTCCACAGTAGGTGAGATGATGGCTCACATCACTTTTGCTTCTCAGGAACATTCTGGCTCTATTCTTTCCAAGACAGATGTGTTTGTTCCTCTGGCTGTCTGTGATATATTAAATATTCTTCACGAGCATCGCAATCCAAAGCATAGATTTTTCTTTGATCTTCCTTAGTCATCGTCCAATTTTCAAAAGCACTTAAGATGATTAAAAATGAGCCAGGTGCATCTTAGTCCTCACGTGACATTGTGACATGGCTCGATGTCACAACATGACATGGAAGTTTAACACAACATGGCTTCAGCAATGGTACCTACCTCAAAGGCCTTCACAGTCACTGTCAAAACAACTTTGAAAGGTCTGAAAAGACCACCAAAGACACATCAATGAGTTGAGGTTGTTGTTGTTGTTGTTGTTGTTATGTGCCGTCAAGTTGCTTGAGACTCATGGCCACCCTGTGTACAACAGCCCTAAACTCTGCTCTGTCCTGTGCCAATCGCACTGTCTCTGACACTCCCATTCCAATTATCCCAGTCACTGAATCCACCCACCTCATAGAGGGCCTTCCCCTCCTTGGCTTATTATTTTTTTGCTCCTCAAGAGTTTGGGTGGCTCAGTGGTTAAGTGGTTGCTAATCCAAAACTCAGCAGTTCAAACCCACCATCCACTCTGTGGCATTCTGCTTCCATAAAGACCACTCTGCACTTGACACTAGCAGTTGTTTTTCTTCTCTGCTTATGACACAGCCTAGTTTCTAGATCTTAAGCATTGTAAGAAGTAGGAATCAGCATCATCCATTGTTTTATCCATCACCTAAAGACATACTTTAAAAAAATATATATATCAACATGGGTACACAACCAGCTAACTTGGTTATCAAACTGGCTGGTGTTTCCTTTTGCCATTTAAGGAACACTTTGCCGCTACATTATCAACTCGGGCTGCAATTGCCAGTTTAAGATTCTTGCTGTGAAGTTATTTTGGGAACTATTCTGTTCCTTTTTCGGTGTTGCAATGCCAAGGGTGTTTGCTTTGGGGGTGGTTTTTGTTGGTTTGGTTTTTTTTTCCCTGTCTGGGTTTTGCCTGACCTTAAAAACTGCCAAGGACAGCTGGAGTCCACTGTTCTTTTTCTAGAAGATTTCCACTGGTCAGATTGCTTTTCCCCTCTGTGTCTGACCCGCTGTCTCCCCCCTCGCCTAGATGAGACTGCATCTTTACAGGATCTGCTGATCTTGCAATTGTCCTTCAGGTCATTGATTGCTGCTTTAGCAATAATAAAGCCTACGGCCTTGATTTTTATTGTTTCCAGAATACGTCCTCCTTTTCAAAACCATTATGCACCTTGCAAATATTTTTACCAGCTGTAGGGAAAAGGCTTGAATTTGGCCAACCAGGCCAAGTGAATTTTTAAAAAATTAACAAAATCCAGTGCAAGTTAAATGTCTTAACTTGAAATATATTTTCTGCTTTGGATCCCTTTTCGGCTGTGAGGAAAACTCCATTACATATATTTTATGCCGTATCGTCAATTTTTACTACCTTGTCATCTCTCATAGCCAGAGTCTTACATTACCTGGCTCTTCTTCCTCAGCTCAGCTAGCTGCTTTTCCTTCAAAATGTATTTTCTCTCCGAGAGCCTATTCAGAGGGAAGGACAAGATCCAAGTGGACCCTCCTCTCTGAGACACTAACGAGATAAGAATAAGAAGCAGGCTCGGCGGCTGCATTGCAATGTGATCAGAATAAGTAATGGTGTGTTTTTTTTTTCACACTGAACATCTTTCCTCCACCACTTTTCATCGTCTCAGGTGGGAAGGCATCAAAACACTAGAATTCATAGGAAAGATATTTCCCACCGAGTGGAATAAAAAAGAAAGCTCTCCCCTTAAAAAAAATGCATAAACCGGGAACCCGAAAAAGCTTACATAAAAGACCATAAGGAAACAGTAGCCCACAAGCGCCCCCTCCAGCTTCGCCGCAGATGTGGGCGTGGCTTCGCGCGTGGCCACGCCTCCTACCCGCCCCCCAAGCCCCGCGAGTGGCGCGCCCCGCCCCAGCGGGACGCTGCGTGAGGCCAATGGTGCACCGCCTTCTCTGCAGGGAAGTTTTGTGGTCTCCTCGCCCGAGCGCGAGGGAGCTGTCCTTGCGCCTGCGCGCTGAGCCGTTGGGCGTCCCTGCGCGGCCGGCGGCCACCCCCGCCGCACGCCCGAGGGCCCTCAGTGCGCCTGCGCGCTCCCGCTCCCCCGCCCTGCCGCCCTCCTGCTCTGCTCGGCTGAGTCAGTCAGTCAGTCGGAGTCTGTCCTCGGACCAGGAGGCGTGAAGGGACTTCAGAGCGCCAGCCGCACGATTTTTATCTCCCTTCCCTCTCTCCCGCCCCGCATCTCTCTTCACCCCTCTTCTGCCCTTGCTCGCGCAGCCATGGCGGAGCCGTCGGCGGCCACTCAGTCTCCGTCCATCTCCTCGTCGTCCTCCGGGGCCGAGCCCTCCGCGCTCGGCGGTGGCGGGAGCCCTGGAGCCTGCCCCGCCCTGGGGGCGAAGAGCTGCGGCTCCTCCTGTGCGGGTGAGGAGAGCCCGGGGAGCCTTGGCCTTCGGGAGGGTGGGCGATCGGGGCTCCTAGGGGGCTCGGGGGACAGCGACTGTGGCCCCCAGGGAGGAGTGTGTGGAAAAATGGGCAAAGGGGGAGGGGAAGCTAAGGTCGTGCAAGCGGTGAGGAAATAACGGGGTTCGGGGGAAAAACAGGTTGGGGGCTGGGAGATATTTTAGAGAGTGGGCGTTAACGCCTCGATGAGGTTGGGGTGGGGAACCAGTTCGGGGCAGGGGGCATTAAATGGACACTTGCCGGAGGCGGGTGCAGGTAACCGTGCAGTGGGGTTGGCTTAGTGCGGGATTAGGGCAGGCCGGGGCCGTAAAGAGGATTGGGGCAGGTGGGTGATAGGAGCGCGAATTAGCTAGGGTGGTGGGGAAGGCTGGTGGGAGGCTTGCACTGCAGAATTGCAGACAGGTGGTGTCATCGTCACGGGAGCCTTTAATATTTAAAAAAAGAAAAGAAAAATATGTCTTGCGGGTGAGGCTGGAGAGGGCGGGCCGGTTTTGGGTGCGCCTGATCGGCGGTGGCGCGCCCGAGGTTCGGTAGACGGTGATGAGGACGGGTCGGGGAGGAAGCCGCGGGGCCATGATGGATCCGGGGCTGCATCTGCAGCGGAGCTGCGCGCTCTGCGCCGCGTGGGGGCGGGACGGGCGGCCGGCGCTCCCGGCCTGGAAGGGAATGGAAACAGGGGCCCCGGCCAAGCCGTCACATATGTGTGCATTTCGTCTTTTTTTGTGTGTTTGTGGTGTGTGTATGTGGGTTTTTTTCTCCCGTGGGCCCTCACCGATCTCAGTGCAACAAAAGGGGGCGTCTGCTGCAGGAGAGCGGGGCGGGGTGGGGGAAGGAGGGGGGACAAAACCCAGACAAAGCCGGAGCTGGTGGAACCCCCTTCGCCTCGCTGCTCGGTGAAAGGCCAGGAGGGAAGCTGCTGGCCGCCTCTAGTTTCCATTGTATGTGCGTCTGGCCGCTGGTGGAGCTGGCCAGCGGGCTGTCCTCGTGCCACGATCTGCAGTGCAGATACCCGGGGTGGGGGGTGGGGGGGAGGTGTGTGAGAACGTACCCCCACCAGGCAGGTGGCGATTCCTGGAGAAATCGGGGCTTGGCGGGAGGGGGAGGGGAAATGCAATTTATTAAAGGAAGATCTGGCAGCTAACGCCAATCAAGATGTTGCTTTTTAACTGTTTCGTGATGTTGAAGAATTTGAAAGGATTAGAAAGGATCCTTTGTCTCCTCTGCCAGAATCTTAGGGTTGATGATCTAACGAACAGAACTGCTGATCTTTGCCTTCAGCATAGTCTCTGCGTGTTGATAGTCGATTTCCACCTGTTTGAGAGATTGGGAGAGCTGCTGGATTTTCCAGTGTGGGCATGGTCAACGTCATTCGAAACAGACCGAAATCAGAGGAAGCTTCTGCTGGTCCGGGATTAGCTGTCAGAGGAATGAGGCAGCAAATTTGGAACCCCAGTTTCCTTTAAACCACCAACGTTTCTCCTCCAAAATTTTGTGTTCTGGGCAAAGAGCCAGATGAACAGCTTGTGGATAACTTAGCAACTTGCTGTTTTGGCTTTAATCGCTTGTCACTGATTATCATTTGGCTGTTTCATGCTCTCTTTTGAATTTTCTTGATTTTTCAATATTTGATTCAGACCTAAGATTTAAGAATTGGCCCTTAGTCCTCAAGATAAAGAGAGCTCTGGTGGCCTAGTGGCAAGGAGCTGCACTGCCAGCCCAAAGATTTTGGGTTCAGGTCCACCAGGTGCTTCAGGGAGAAAAAGGCAGGCAGTTTCTTCCTGTGGGATTTACTGCCTCTGAAAACTGGAGAATCAGTGGTCAGCTATATAGCTTCCAACCTGATAGTACTAATGCCAGCCACCCAAGATAAGATCTCGGTTGCATGTCCCGGAGCCATTTAGTTAGGTTTTAAAATTAAATTCCTAACATTTGCAGCCATATGGTGAAGACATTTAAGAATCAACCCCCTCCCTACTTCCCTTGCCAGCTTTATTCACTATTAACAGAAGAATTGGCTCCTTTAAGAGTCCAGTCAAAAGGAAGTATTTTTTTCACAGTCAGAATTCCCAGAAGCAAACTCTAAACCGGAACAGTATGTTTAATGTATAATTTGCTTGATTTGTATTTCTGATAATTTTTACTCTTGCCAAAAATTTTATAGGCATCCTCGTGGTATAGTGGTTAAATGCTTGATTGCTAAGCAAAAGGTTAGTGGGTCAGACCCACCAGCCCATTCCTTGGGAAAAGATGTTAACAGTCTGCTTCCATAAAGATTGGCAGCCTTGGAAACACTGTAGGACCGTTCTCCTCTGTCATATACCAACACTGAGTTGGAATGGACTTGGTGATGGTGGGTTTGGCTTTGGTTTTTGTCACAGGCTCTACCATTCTTGGGAGACCCTGAGGCGTAGTGTGTGATGTCAGGCTGCTGAGTTCAGCAGTTTGTTCCCTGTAGGCCCTCCTCACAAGTAAAATAAGCAGTCACCTCACAGAAGGATTTCCAGCTTCAGAAACCTGATGGAGGTCACTGTGAGTTAGACTTGTCTCAAAAGCAGGAAGGAGTTTTTGTTTGATATTTGTTTTAATGATGATAGAGAAGGATATGTATTGTTCCAGGTATATGCTTTTCCATTGTTTTCTGAATACTTTGTTTTTCCTTTTCATAAAATGGCTCAATGCTTACCCATTTTTATTGGAATGTTGTTAACAGAATTAGTATTTATTAGTTCACCTATAGTCACTTGGATAATTACCTTTGGTACTTAGAACAGTGCCTGGTGTATCATTGTCCTTGCCAAGTATTTGTCCAGTGAGCTAGAAAAGAGCATGTTCTGTCTTAAATTCGTATGTGGTCCAGATAGGTATTATTATTGGTGAACCCAACACAAGATCTTCTGATACAAGATCTTAATTCAGTTCTCTACTAGAATAAAAAAATTTACCTTAAGAGACTGTGACATATCCTCATTTCATTGCAGAAGCTCTTCCTTCTTGCAAAATGGTTTGTTTGTCTCATAGAAAACATCCCAGACTTCTGCATCATGAAAATAAGATAAGTTATTCCAAAATTGAGCTCTATTATTATAGCTACAGTGTTGCTTTCAGCCTCGGGTTCTCTAGCCAAGCTATCCAGATTTAGGACTTTTCAAAGCTGAAAGTTAAGTAGTAGCTTGATATCTACAGGAGACAGCTTTGTCTTGAGCAGCCGATGCAGCAGTGAATTTTAGAGAAATTCATAACACAAAGACAACCAGTGTGCTCCTGGCTTCACACTAGTGCAACCATCAGAGTAGTATGCTTGAGGGAGGAGGTAGTCAGGGACCAGAACGACTTCCCAGCTAGCTACCTTTGAAGGAGACACCCAGGACATCAAAGACAGAAATTTGAACCGTCAATATTTAGTTACTCAGAGTGAAATTTGTGTTCATCAGTCAAGTATAAATACATGTCTATTGTTCAAATTTTAAGTGTTTTAATTTTTTACTCTATACATGACTGACATTTATGTACATCCTGTGTCATAGACTATTCTGTGTGGTCTTTAAATCGTGCTAACCAAAATTAAGCTACATTTCTTACATCTGTTCAGGAAACTTGTTCAGTGTGAAACCAGCCTGAGCAAGTTTTGTTTTTTTCCAAATTTTTACTTTTTTTTTTTTCCCAAATTTTTACTTTTAATACCTTTCTCCATTCAAGACACTTAGTTGTTGTGTATGCTCTAGTGACTTTTTCACACTTTTTTTTTTTACCATTTCAACCATGTATATCTGTGGACATTTTCAGTTTGAATCCTTAAATAAGGAATCTGATCACCTGTTCAGCATTGACTGATCTGTGTGTTACACTTCTGTCACTTTATCAGTGACAGAATAACATAATGCTACACAGCCCAGGCTTGAGACCTGAGACACCGGAGTTTTAATATTCACATTCTCAGTAATTGTGTGACTTTGTACACAATAAGCCTGAGCATCCGTTTTCTTAACTTTAAAATGAGATTGGTAATAACTCCTCCCTTTAAATTGATGTGAAGATTAAATGAGATGACGTTGAAGGGCACACACAATGCCTTGCTTATATTAATTGTTTAGTAAGCAATGTTATCATTAATGGAAGGAATTGAGTACAGTTCAACAATGAGACCTAGACAGATTTGCTTTTTACCTTAAATTCTGCCTTTAATTGACTGTTATTGATTGCCTTCTAGTCGAGCACCACTCATAGTAACCCTATGAACAAAAGGCCTGAAGCCCCTCTACAACTATTGACATTTATCAAAGTTCATGGAGTTTCCAGAGGCGTGTTATTTAGGAAGTGGATGCCACTCCTGCTTCCAAATTCATTGACTAGTACCTACTATTTGTAGGTTAAAAGATGTGAATATACAAAATAGCAAGTGGGACTGACCACAAGCTAGGAATTACAGCCTTCTTTGCAATAAAGAATGAATCTTGGGCCTTTTTCTTTTTTCCCCAAAGTAAGTTTCTTTCAGTTTGTGACTCCTTACATTAATATCTTAAGACTGCCTTAATGCCTTTCCCATTCAGCTGATCTTAAAGAAGCAGGGGGAAGTGTCAGAGGTGTTTTGTATCTGGCTTGTGGATCACATTAGCATACTTCAGTATTTCCTGCTGCGTTCTGAATAAATGTGATGGTGCCTTATGAAACTGTTTTCAGTAGAAGCAAGAGTACAGGGCGCAGCAGAAATGATCATGGTATGTCATCTACAAATTCCCATTGATTTAGATTATCCTTTTCTTCAGGAATAAAAAGTTTGTTTCAATACTGTTTTCTTTTAGAATCAAATTTATAAATAATGTAACAACTTTCTTTAGGTTAAATAACCAGTTACACTGATAAACTTAATCCTAAATTGAACCATTTTAGTGGGTTATTTATGAATTAAGAGTGCTACAGTGGCTTTATTTTCAGTATTTTAGAGATGGTGTGAAAGCAAAATG